CCAAACAGGTTTCACAGATTATGGTGACTTGATTTGACTTAATATGCTCATGTACATGTTGCATTGCATCATTAAAAGTATGGAAATATTTTTCATGTCAGTGTTATCAACCGAAAGGAAAGGGACCCTGAAAATCTGTCATTGAATTGTGCAACTATGTCAACAATGTTTTGCATTTTATGTTAACTTTTATTTATACAAAAAGTGCATTTTCCTATATTTTTAATCAAATGAAGATCAATTCATGAACTGACTTGTTGTTATGCTACATTGGATATCATAAATTAATAAGTTTGAAAAATGCCTTGCTTCTCTGAATGCCTGGACTAATAATAAAATGTTGCTAATGTGAATGGTTGAATTCATAATAAAATGTTGAACTCTCAAACAACAGCCATGTTACATGTACTTCCTAATGAACCAAAATGAAGTACAAGAATGCTGAAATAATTTCTGACAGCTTCATGATGTTCAGTTAAATCATATCTGACAGCAATATTTCTTGTTATAAGACAACCCTGCATACTGTCTTCTTTGAGGCCTAAAGGGTCGATCCCAATGGTCAGCTAAAATTTCTTCTTACATCTATCCTTTATGTAAAAAGTTGCTTCTATGAAAGGTTGAACTTATGATTACACATTAAGCTCTCTAAAACTATAACTGTTATTATCCAGTGAACAAGAAAAATGAAGTACAAGATAACTGAACTAGCTTCTGACAATTCCACGATGTTGGGATAAGTCAGGATTTCTTGTCTTTGGACTGTCCTGAGTTTATATGGGTCGATCCCGCTGATCAGCTGTAGTTTTCACATGTATATACACTATTCCTTTTGGTGTACTTGATCGCGATATGCATTTTAGTTTATTTTATTTGGTTTACCTACATTTACGCTACTAATCCCCGTCGTTCTTTCCCTCCAGTATGGCTGCTGGACTAATGTTACGGAGCAAATATGACGTCACTGTAATGGGTTAATAGCATTTTTGTATCTTGCACTAACAGTTGGCCTAAAACTAATTAATTCATTACTTGTTCTCTAAGATTTGGATATATAAATCAGGCAATAATATACAATCAGATCGTGCAGCTTTACTTATGAATTTTAAACTTCCCATGTATGTTAGTAAGCAGTTTTCGCTTTAGCACTTCACAAAGACGTTAATAACCATATCTCGCTTTGAGTGCAGCTTGTCTTGACATGGGTTGTGAACAAGGTCAAGGCCATTTGTGTGGACCGACTTGCTGTTAGAAAACTTAACACCAAACTCGATTCCCTACCGAGGTTATGAAGTGGTAGGTATGCTGTAGCGTTTCCGATGCGTATACCTTAGCAGAAAATTGAGGTATATACTTTTGGAAAATACTATTAACTAGGTAGAGGATTTGTTTTGACTCTGCCTCGGGTGACATCCGCCTACACAGCTAGCCTACTCTAGTATCAGGCGCCTGACTTCAGAGTTTACATGTACATGTATTTATTATACACAGTGCTGTAGCTATGCAATAGGTGTGCTGGAACCAGTAGCAGAGGTTAACTTATAATAACATCAAGATACAGCAATATTTAGTATATACCTAGTACTAGTACTTGCCGAGTACTGATGCTAGTCCTAGTGTATTTCCGCGCAAAATATCCGGTGTGACTGAAATGCGCAATACACTGCAATACAGCGCAACACAGCGCAATACACTTGATAACACAAGTCCAGTTGCAAGTAAACACAGGAAAGGGTAATCTCAAATAAAATAGGGTGATATAAAAGCAAAATATAGTACATAGTAATTAATATTGCTGATACAACTTGACAATTTTTTCATTGTTTGGTCAGCCGCCATGTTGGCGAGTAGCTCTTCTTGGCCAGTAATATATCCAAGAAGAGCCACTCGCCAACATGGCTGCCAACCGGACAATATCTGACAATATAAAAGTCTTGCTGATTTGTTAAGTTATATCAACGATATTACTTACCTAGTAATATATAGGTTGTTTTTATATCACCCTACTTTGCTGGGAATGGTCATTTCTTTTGTGTAATTGCAACTGGATTTGATTTTTGAAGTGTATTGCACTGTGTTGCGCTGTATTGCGGTGTATTGCGCATTTCAGTCACACCAAAATATCTGACTGCTGGCTGTACACTGTATATACCAGGGTAGTGGGGGTGCTACCAGCAATACATGCATAGTATCAAGGTGTACGTGTATGTGTACAATCTAAAAAAAATGAACAGTGGCCTGGTAAGTGGTAAGTTGCAGTTGTAAATTTTCTTAAAAGAATTTTATCCTGCATTTGTGAACTGTTTCCTCCGCTGTATTTTAAGGTGAGGTAGTAATAAAGATTCTTTTTTCCAGACACAGGGCCGTTTACAACCTGTGAAATACTCTAGAAATCTGATGATTCTTCAGAAATGGACTAGTACACTACCCACTGTCATGAAAAAGCTGTGGAGACAGTTGTAGCTGCTTTAAGACGAGGTCATCCCAGACACTGGGCATCCTGCTGACTTATCCCACCTCTCCCACTGTACATATCATCACATCTTACACCATGGCATTGTACTTGTGTAGAGCACTGAGGTCACATGTCAGTCACATGACCAGTATTCAGCTCACCCTGGTGATGGTGGTGTTGTACATAGCAGTGGCTGTGTGGACATGGACATGGCTGCCACTGCTGATGTATGTACTCACATTCCTAGGAGGACTTATGGGGTCCAGGTAATATCTTCTCTTGCCCCTCCCTCTCTCTCTCTCTCTCTCTCTCTCTCTCTCTCATGAAATACATGTATTTGAGTGCTGCAGAGATATTCAAATGGGATTTCAATTTTCAAACATTTGCTGGCAGGATAATTGCTATCTCAGTTCTAGTTTGAGATGTAGGAAATATTATATAAATTCAATCTCAAATAAATGATAAAATCTCTTTAAATGTAATGATATTGCAGGTATCTTCTGCGACAGCAGTCCCTTTTCCGCACAGATGGGACCATACACATTGTTTACAATACGTACAAATGGCTGCTAAAATTGGCGTCACCTGATGGGCATTATGTTGACGACAGCCAGTTGAGATCCAGGATGGTGAAAGAGGAAGTGGATAAGTTTGTAGATCTTATTAGCAGAGATTTTGTAAAGGTAAAACATGGTTTTTGTCCAGCTTGTTATCATTTTAATGCCAGACAATTTTTATGTACAGACATTGTTATCTGTCTGCATTAGACAGAAATGAAAATGAAGAATTAGTGTACATAAGTTTCTTAAAACTTCAAATTGCAGTTACTGTTGTCATCTTCAAGATAATTCACCTTTTGCTAGAAAAATGCAGATTTGAAAGTAAATTAAATTGATTTCCTTTCACAAGTTATCTTGGATTTTGGATATACATGTAGTTGTGTTAATTTATCTTCAGCTTCAAGATATAGCTTTGATCAATATTTCTAAATGAGATTTATGTTATTCGTGAAAAATCCCACACTATGAAGTTTTTATTTTGCGACAGGTTTGGTATGATTTAATCAGTAACAACAGCCAGTGTATGGAGGAAGCCTCACAGCTGCTCACAAGTCTTCTCCAAGATAGTACCCGCAGGATAGGAAAAGCTGGGAGAGGGAAGTTAATACCAGTTTTGCTCACAGTGTTTAGGTAGGTACTCACATATTCCTAAGCAGTTAGGCTGTTTTGAAACAGAGTGAATTTTTCCCCACATTAGTTTTAATAAGGAATGTTAAAATTCACATCTGGCAATGAATAGATTTGTAATCAAGCACATCTGTAGCAACCAGTATCACAACAAATGCAACCTGGTCACAGCTAACACAATCAGTATCACAACAAATGCAACCAGGTCACAGCTAACACAATCAGTTCACAGCTAACACAATCAGTATCACAACAAATGCAACCTGTTCACAGCTAACACAATCAGGTCACAGCTAACACAATCAGGTCACACCCAATGCAACCAGTCACACCTAGCACAATCAGGGTCACATTTCTCATGTATAAAGCCAGCTGTTCTCGTTATTTGAGGAAATAGGGTTATAAAACTATATCTGTACATGTTTGTATTCAAGGGGCCATGTTAAAGGATACCAAGCATCTGTTCATTACCTCAAGATGCAGCCAGCATACAGGAAGAAGAAAGATCCCTCAAAGATAGAGTTCAAAAAGGTGAAAACAATTGAGGAGGCTTTTGAGAAACAGGTAAGACAGATTAAATAAATGCTTGGATCAGTAATTATGAAAAATAAACGTACTTATCCATGAACAGGTAATGTATTCGAATTCTTTTGAAGATAAAAATGGATTAAGAACACCCAATTTGACATTTCTGGCTACAGACTTGATATGATTAACTGATTTTTCAGGTTCATTTCCACACAGCTCTGTATGATATGGAGACAGAGGTGCAGTATGTGAGAGCTGTAACAAGACTTCTGTTGGCCACTTTAGCACCAGACAAGGTAATGTTTGCTTTTATATATATATAAAAATATTTATTGCAGTCAATTTCGATGTATTTGAAAATAATTTGTTTGCTTTCAAACTGGTGTTATGAAAATTGCAACAATGCAAAAGGGAAGTTTTAAAAGCATACAGATCTTAATATAATGGCAAAAGCTAAATTCTCTTGGAAATTTCTGAAATTTTCTGGGTTAATGGTTCATAATTCTCATTGAAAGGCTTTGAAGGTGATGTTTCTGGTAATTTTAGGGAAAAAGTGAAAAAAATCCGTAGGAAGCTAATGTATTTGCTATGCAAAAGCCTTTGCTCCTTGTGTGCTATGAATATATATTTTCAAACAGTTAGCACTGGCTGTATCCCCTGAATAATTTTCTTCACACTTCTCAGGTCTACAAAACTGAAAGTGCAACAGAGATGCTGGTTGAAATACTTGCCTGTAACATGCTGCTCCCTCTAGTGGCAAAACTCAGCGACACTCACACTCTACACAGGTGTATTGTGGCAGTTCTCTCTGATGAGGAGCCAGAGATAGTTCAGCCACTAGAGGGAAGCATAAGTCAAGACAAGACTTTGATGAAGTCACCAGACAGTGACCAAAACCAAGGTCAATCTGCAAGTTTGCCACTAGATGGAACCCCTGTACAGGATGGACTAGGTTTTGAGCAGAAGCAAGAATTACTAAAAGGAAGCGATTCCAACTCAAGTGAAGCAGAAAATACTCATGAACTTAATGAAAAGGAAACACATTTTGATTCTGAGCAGTCTGCAGATCTCCAGGAATATGAGCAAGATGAACCAGAAAGTGATCTGGAAAAATGTGGAGAATTTGTCTCATCTAGTTTAGGCCAATACTTTAGACTGTTGCCTGAAGGGAATTCATCGCCTGTCTCAACCAGCACAATGAACACAATCACAGCTAACACAACCAGCTCAGGAAGTTCTTCTTACCCATTTTCTACTCTAACACAACAATCCAAGCCCCAGACTACCCAAACAACAGCTGTGAAAACTACAGTAAGTTCTGATCACTCTCCTGAATCCAAGCCACAGAAGAGACCTACAGAACTTAGACTTGATCAAGAGGCTATCAAGAGAGCATTGCTCCATGAGTCAAGTTCAGATACACCCTTTGAGGAAGTTGGTGTCAAGGACATGCTAACTGTGTCAAGTTCAAGGTCGTCTTCAAGTGATGTGTCAATTTCAGATGAGGTCATATCTTCAGTGCAAGGTCAAGGGTCAGGGGTGAAGGACAGTAGGGAAGCCACATCCACAGAGGGTACAAATATATTTAGAGAAGCTAGCAGAAATGTTGAAACCCTCAGCAAAGTTGGAGGGAATTCAACCTCAAAAGAAGATAGTATCAGTTCATCTGTCAGTAGGAAAATAGAGGAACCTCATCAACAGGGTTCATCATTTTTGGGGAGATTCAGAAGGCAGAATGAGAAGAGTCCAAGTAAATCTGCCAATGGTAACTTCAATCTGAAGGGACCATCTTTTTTGCTCTCTGGAGAACAGACTGTGGAGGCAGAGAAAGCAGTGCCCCAAGGCACGTTATCAGGTGAGACATTTTCTCATGGGATTGAGGCTGCGTGGGAGCCAGAGAATGATGATAATAATCAGCAGTCAGAGAGCAGTGATGTTAAAGAAGGCTCCTCTGTGTTGACTGCTGGAATTCTTGAAAGTGAGGGAGAGATAGCTGTGTCTGGGATAACAGGACATATTGGAATTGCCCAACAGAGACGCCCTTTGAAAGTCCATTGGAGTGATGAAGAGAATCAGCAGGAGGTTACAGGATCAGCAGTGCCTCATTCTGGGGTTGCTAGGAGACAAGCAACACAGGGGGAGGCTGATGGAAGAGCCAATGTTGACAGGCAAAGAGGTATTTTTACAGCAATATCCAGAGCAGATAGCACTGAGATATTAGACAGGCCACAAACTGACCGTAGCCCTGGTCATCTACACCGCAGTGCATCTATCAACATTCCACTCCAACTGGACAAAGCTGACCACCAGATGTCCAGTTCCCCTGTCGTTGGTTCCAGTGGAAATGAAAGTGAAAGTGCTCTGTCTTCAGAGATGGACAGTGTTAGCGTAGAGGATATTCAGAGTTGTGTTTCCAATGGTCAAGCTACTGGAGTTCGTCAGAAACGCATCATGAGGCAAAGACAGGTTGTCACAACAACGGAGGTGCCAAATTTTATTTTCCAGAATGTGTATATTACACAGACTGAGACTGCCACAGAACCTTCATTTACATCTAACAAGCCATATACTCTGTATAAAATAGAGGTAAGTATACTTTATATAAAATGCAGATAGATGAATAAAGAATGGTTAATAAGTAAACTTGCAAGGTGTGTAAAATGGACCATGTGTAAATACATATCTCATTTAAAACATTTTTTATGAGATATTATTTCCGTGTGAGATAGAAGAGCTTACATAGGTGTGAGTTAATGAGTTTTAGACAAGATAAAAACATGACTTAGTCGATATTTTGCCTTAAGTTGTGATATTTAATTAAATTTTTTTGGGAAAAAAAAGAATTACAAGAAAATTATGACAGAATGTGAATATTACTATGTTCATGTTTTCCAGTATGAAGCCTGGTATTTAACTGAGGAAGAAGAGTTTATCCTGCAGAAGAAAGTGGTTTGGAGAAGGTTCAGGGAATTTGTCAATCTTCATTCCAGGTTGGAAAACAGTGACTTGTATAAAAAATGCATCAAAGGTAGATTTTGTCACTTCTTGTAAAATAATGATATTTTGGAGAAATGTGAATTATTGATACACATTGGATTAATCTCACAAAGTTTGAAAATGTTTACGTGCAGAGAAGCATATCTATAAGTCATAGATATAATTTTTTTCTCTTCTGAGTTTTTTTAGGTCCAGACTTAATACTTTTTGCTTGTAACTTTTAAGAAAATTGAAAGATGGTATAAATTTCAAAATTTACAATCATGATATTTTCTGCAAACAACAGTTGCTGTACAGGTATTTCATGTATACTTTATGTCTGGCAAGACACTTGTTTGTTTCAGAAAATTATAATTATTGTAATCATTACAATCATTATGATTATAGGAACTTTGGGGTCATTACACGACTGATAAATGTATTTCCAATAAATTGGCTTGTTTTTCTCATTAGTAATGAATATAAAGCAATATGTCATATGTATTGTTATAGATGTGAAGGGCCCAAAGAAATGGCTAACCATGCCGTTTGGTATTGGAAACATGGGACAAGAGAACATTGACAGTAGGAAGAGCACCTTGGAGGTGTACTTACAGGTAAGTTATCATACCAGCTGACAGATGGAGGGATGGGTGAAAGTAAAGAAAACAAGGGACAGAAACAGCAAAATAAAGATAGACAAGGGGGTATAGTAATTTTTATTTTTTTTTGGTTAAATCAGAAACACGCAGGCAGGTACATCACAGAACTGAACAGAAATATAAAACCAGGTGTTTTGTTATTGCAGACCCTGTGTGCTAAGAGTGGTCTGTCTGTTTTATCACAGAAATTAACAGAAATATTAACCCAGGTGTTTTGTTATAGCAGACCCTGTGTGCTAAGAGTGGTCTGTCTGTTTTATCACAGAAATTAACAGAAATATTAACCCAGGTG